CCGCAAGATGGAAAATCGAAGGATGGAAATGTGATTAAGAAGATAGAACGTTTCAAGCTTTCGAATACCAGTCTTGTATTTGTATTTGATTTTTTGAAAACGGATATAATTATATCCGTAGAGACATTTAAATCGATGGATAGGATGAATATTTTGGTGACTTGAGATCGTTTTGAAAAATGAAAAACATTTGGAAAGTTTCGGTGAAAAATCGTGAAGAACTTTGGAGAACGTAGAATGCATAGAATTTTATTTACATTTTTTATTTAGTTTAATTTAAAGTGCATTATAGGCTGTAAATTCTCAATTCTGACGTTTATAACTTTAATTCCCATTTGGAAAGAAACATAATAAAGGCGTCGATAATCGAGAAAGAAAATGTGCAATTCAATTACACAAAGAATAATATTAATACGTTACTTTTACATCTCTATCCTCAACCTTTGTAACCTATTTTGAACAATTTTATTCTCGACAATTATTGATACTTTCGCCTGAAACACCATTACGAATTATATTTTCGTAAACGATCCTATTTTAATCCGATAATTGCAAATTTAAACCATAAAAAAGAAACTAGGAGGAATTAAAAGGAAAGAGGATCGAGTAAAACAATGCATGCAATATTTTTAAATTCGATTTGAAATCGATCTATCGATACTCCGAATAATCCAGCTTTACACCAATCGACAACAATGATCCCAATATTTAACTCAACAATCGATCACGTCTTAAGATTAAGATGTTCGGATCACTGTCTCCATTTTCCATCCAACAATATTCATCAACCCCTTATTACCGGTAAAGAGATCGACGAGCATCGAACGATCCCCTCGTCGGTAGTGGTTCACCTCGAATTTAGATTATTCCATCACGAGGCAACAATAGGGGATAAGGATATAGTGGTATCGGCGATAGCCAGCTGCGGTATCGACGGGAGACCTTATTTTCGATGGTATCTGCGAAATAGAAACAAACGAATGGAGGGACGGATGGATAGACGGACGTGTATGCCGCATTCCGTGTTTATTATTTTGCCGGTGGGTGGTCTGGAGAAGTCCAGAGCCGTCTTGGTGGCCGATAGCATCTCTCGTGTCTCTCATGTGCACGCACCGTTGAACGCGGCCAACGCAGTGAACGAACGTGGCGCATCGAGTCGTCTTGCGTAAGGGAAGTAGTCGACTTCTCTTCTTCCCCCACGCTCTCCATTCTCTCCATTCTCTCATTTCCACAGTTTCTCCTTCTTCCATCTTTCGCCGGCTGCTGCCTCTGCCTCTTCCTCTTCTCTCTTCTTTCGCCAGATCTATCTTTCTCGATGTTAGTTCTTTCCTTCTTTTTTTTTTTTTTTTTTCTTTTTTTTTCTTCACTCGTACGTCGTTGCTTATTTTTTGCCTTATTGTCGCTTATTGTTCCCAATGCGCTCCCCCTCCCTTCTTTATTTCCTTCGTGTATGACATTACTGCCTCCTTTTGTCCTCCTCTGGTGGTTCGAACGTTTTCTGCTTTTAAATCGATGAGTTTTTACCAATGTTCTTCGTGTTCTTCTGGAAGGGAAGAAGAAAAAGATTTTGGGTTGTTGTGCGTTGTCGATTTTTTTTCTTCTTCCTTTTCTGTAAATTAAATGTTATATATTCGATTTTTTTCTGCTCGCAGTTTTCGACTGGCGAAAACGATATGAGAGACATGAAGAGGATACAAGAGGAATAAGAGGTATGATAATGAAATAAGGGTATTTGTAAATCGAGGAACAATAATTCTTGTAAAAAAATATTAATGAACAAATATTCGTAATTCGTATAAAATTAGAAAGAAAGTACAATTTTAATTTTAGTGTTGCACATATGTGCTTTTCTTGCATGAATATATTATTGAAATTTAATTATATGCAAAATAATTATTTATTTAATTATTTAACAATTTGACCATATTGAGAAATTATGATAAAATATATTAAATTATTAAAGAATGATCAAAATTGCTCTATTTTCAATTTATTAAAATATTCAATTTGTTAATTATGTTATATCATATATTTTTTTCTATTATTTACAACAAATAAAAATAAATTCCTAAGAAGAGAGAATGAAATTGTACTTTCAATATAATTTAATACATTAATATATTTATGTATTATTTGATAGAAGAAATAAAAACACAATACGGAAGCCTATAGAGCTGCAACCCGAACAACAGAGGTGCATATTATGGAAAATAGATCTACAGTGCGTCAGTCGTGCACTCTGTTTCAGCCTAACTCAACTATCTCGCTCTCGCACTCATTAAGTCGATGCAGCGTCGGCAAAGATCAAAGCTCGTCTTCTACAGAGGACCGCTTAATACTGGGTGGCGAGTTAAGAGTGTCGTAAAAATTATTAACGGTCCCTCCGCACGTTGTGCCTTATCGCCAGATCAGCAACTGCAATAAGGTGTATTCATCGAAGCCGCCACCACAATATGCAATGACATTTCTTTTTCACTTTCGTTTTGCTTTATTTATTAGTTGAAATTTTATAATGAGAGATCTTAGAAATAATGGAAAAAGAAGAGACCAATATAAATACTATAATTTGAATAAATTAAAGCGAAAAATGGATAATTATATATATGTATCGTTCACAAGAAACGTATTATTTTCACGATATATTAATTTATGATTGTCGATCGAAGAAAAAGGATAAAAACTTGTAAAATTTCGGTATAAATATTACGATAATTTTGCAATGCAAGAATAAAAAATAGATCACCCGTTTTATTTGCGACATCGTTTGTATCATGCTTGGATATTATGTTACGCAAACAAATGTCGATGTTTGCACGCTTAACATGAAATAATATACTTTTAATTTTAACGTCATATAAAATTATATCTTTTATTCGAGAATCATTAGATTCTTCATTATCGATCTGAATGATTAATCTGAAAAAGAGCATTGTTTTATTAATTTCAAAAATTCGAGACAATCAATGAAAACAGAGATCCCTTGGATCAAAGAGCAAAATAAAAATAATAACTGATATAGGAATCGAAAATCATCTCGTATTTGCTGGAACAGTGTCGGGCTTAGTATCGCAGTGGGTGGCCGCGTATTTATACATTATCTTTTTCGATCTGCTAGTTTGTTTCGCTCTCTCTTTCTCCCTTTTATTTAATTTTCTCTATCTATTATTTCTTTCTCACTTCTACAGTTTTATTTTTCTTTTTTTTTCATATGCTGATCCTTCATTACATACACGATCCCTATACCCGTGTATTAATCTTACGGGTGTGAGACTATCCAACGAACGTTTTGGCCTGCACACACGTAACATGGAAATGGTGTACGATGCCTAATGAAGTCGCAACGTTATGCAGATATTATGAAGACAGGTTAATAAGTTAATCATTCGTTATAATATTTTTTCCTGTGGCTTAATGAACATATTCAAAACAGTTATCTTTTTTTTTTCTATGCAAATGATATTTATAGAATTTCGTTTGTAGGTATGAGAATAAAAAAAAATTTTATTTAATTACGATGTTTAAAAAAGATTTTATTTGAATTATGGTATGAATCATAATTCAAAATATAATAGAAATATAATAGAATATGAGCGAAAGAATTATTAAAATCTTATGTATCGTTCACAAGAAACGTTTGATTCGATTATACATGAAGCAGATAACAATAATAATAAGAGAGAATGCAGTCGAACCCTATAGTTGCAGCCGCCAATCAAATCATAACCAGTGGCAGGAGAGACACATATAATCAATTATGCAGATTTGCTTTAGTGGCGATGGCCAAGAAACGATTGCTGGTGAAGTAATAAACTGTTGTATTTCCGGTCTCGATTAATATTGCTGAGAGTAGCAGCGATTCCGATCTCTAGAGACCCGTAAAGAAGTCGTGTTTACGTTCGGTACACATCGGTGGCTCTCTTCTGCTCGTCTTCAACTCTCTACCGCACGTCGACCGCGTTCACTGCTCTTCATGAATCGTTCGAGTCTTCTCTACTAACACAGAATGCAACAAGCGTATACAAAACTTCTTAAGACCGTGTAGAAGTAATGACGAGGAGAGAACATCGAGAGAGAAACTGGAGAAGAAAGAAAAGAAGATGCTGCGGCGATCTGTAAACGACGTTGTGTGCCTCGTACGTGTCACGTACTTCTTCTCGTGTGTGGGTAATGTTTTTGCTCGAGGGGAAATGGTACCGCGTGTGTGGTCCTGCGTCGTACTCCCTGCACCCCTTGTGATGGCACATCGCCGTATCCTAGCAACGTAGAACGCCACGCCGAATCGGCCAATCACGAATAAGTTCCGATCACTTCGGTTGAAATCGGCTTATTTCGGTTCCGACGTCATCGGTACCTGCAGTAACGTATCGTTCTACCGCGAAAATCAGGATATGCAGTAAGTTTTTCACAAAAAATTAATTTATTTGAAAATTTTAATGTTATTTATTTATGATAGTGTAAACAAAAGATTTAATAGATACTAATATTTAGATTATTAAATAAAAGTAACGTATAATTTTGCGTAAAGATACAAATAAAAATATGATTTTAAAATTTTATATTAATCAGAAACATGCATAATACATACAATTATATTCAAGTATTATAAATATAAATTCTTATTAGAGTTATTATTTAAAAATTTATAAATAATAATAATATATGTGCATGCAGTATGTATATACATATATATGATACTTATATATATATACTTATAAAATATTATATTCTACATAAACAATTTATTATAAGAAAGAATTGTTTTTGCAATTTAAATTAATTATTATTTAGAAATTTGTTTAATTTTATAAATCGTTATTATGAGAAAATGTAGAATTATAAATTTTCTCGATCAAACGAAATATATTTAAGCGTGCCCATAGAATTACGGTCCTGAATGTTTGTGCAGCACCGATCTCGGAAAGTGGCGCCGTTGGAGGGGGGCCGTCAACTATGGCCGGCGCAGAAGGCAGGCCACGAAAGAAATGTGGCACCGCATTTCGCTTAGTACGGACTTAGACTGCTCTAAGTGGCGGTCGTGTACGCCGGTGTCCGATCACGACAACGACGACGACAACGACGACGTCGTCGTTTCAGAACGCGTGACAGAGAGACTACCAGACTTTAACGAGAATTTCCAGCTGCCTCTGCTGGACTGTGGAACACTCTCGTTCTCTCACGTCGCCTACGCCTTCTTGCGTAAACCGGATGCTCGTCATTGCCGCGCTTATACGAATTCGGTAGTCGTGGCGAATTTCTTCGAACGCAATGTGAATATTCGAACAAGATCTAACTGTGTCAAGTGACAACGATCGTGACAGTGACACTGAAGTGTGCGTAATTACATGCCACGCTATTATCGTGCGAATAAAAAGACAATGAATTCAATCATCGTCGAGGCTGAAACTTATGTGTTTATTTTGTTCCTGTGACATAAAAAAAAGGCACATGTATACAAGAGCGTGGCTGTTTCCCGCGAAAACATCGTAAGGTCGACAACAATCTTCTCTCGATTGTCGCATGATATTTCAAAACAAGCAAACTCGCGTGTGCGCCCTCGTGCTTGTCGGCGATACTGTGAATCCCGCGAGAGGGAGATACAGAAGAGAGAGGGAGTACGAAAGATCCCGCATTCAAGTAGAAAAAGCAAAAGAGAGGGATAGAGAAAGAGACAGAACGAAGAGACGAATCGGTGAAGAAGGAGCAGTCACGTATTTACTTTTCTACGGTGGTACGAAGCTAACCTAAAAACCGATACTCGGTCCGTTTTGTGCGTATACCATCGATGGGCACAATACAGCCGCGCATGCGCAGAAGAAATTGTGTATACCTCGTGCGCGAATTTCGATTACTGTGCTCATCGCATGTATACACTATCGACAAATTGCGCGGTAAACAAGATTTACCAATTGAACGTGTGCTGTGACAAGTGTTTCTAGAAAGATTCGTGTAAAAATTACGTGTAACCACGATAACAAGTGTACAGAGTGATATCGATATTTTTTTTTTTTCGTTTCTTTCGTGTTCGTGCCTTATTCGTGCTTTTTGAAATCCGTGTCGCGTCCGGTAACGTTACGAGTAAAACGAGAGGGGAAACAAAAAATCGAGAGAAGTCAAAAAGAAACGTCACGTTGGAGGGGAGTAATATAAAAATAATCATACTGCGAATTGTGCCAGGGCGAATGTATGACGGATCATGGTTTCTGCGTCCGGCCCCACAGGGATCCTAGCGGGACGCCCTTCCGGTTCTCAGTGCTTTCAAGGTTCGCAATCATCACAGAATGGAAGTGTTACGAAAAATCATAACGAGAAGAATATTAAAAACGTCGATAACGCGAAGCAACGACACGAATCGGACCTTTATATTAGGCCAAGTTGGACTGATGCAGCGATAGCGTTGGATCAACTCGAAAAGGTAAGTTTCTTTTATTTCCAATTTTTTTATAGCTATCGTATCATATTTAAAGCGATATTAAGAGAATAGGAAGAAATAAAGAAATAATTTATTCGAATTATTTATTATAAATATAAAAGTAAAAAAAATATTTAAAAAATATTTAGAAGCAAAAATAATACTATCTTGCTTTTACTTCTTCATAATATTCTATAAATTATAAAAGAATACAATAATATTCACAGTATAAAATTTCAATAGTAAAAAAAAATAAAATACAAATAGCATAAAACTTCTTTTTTTTGGAACAATCTTCCAAATTCCACACACATTTCTTTATTTTGTTTGCCTAGTCTCTGAAATGCTTTTCATTCTATTATGTATTTCGTTATATCTTTCTAGTCGTTAAAATAGAAACGATGAATATAGACATCTATAACTATATTCAATTCTTTTTGTCAAAAATTATTTCTAGTTACCAACATATAACATGCTATAAAAAGAAATTCTATATTTTTCTTTCATATATCTTATATTTTAAAAAACCATATTTTTTATTCATAAACTACTCAACTCAAGAATTCAAAAAACATAATAATACTAGAATGCCCTGAACATCATGTCGTAACATCATTATAATTTAGTAAACGATTTATTGATAACATAAATTTGATCTACATACGTATTAGATTACTAGAATAATTCGCGAATCGACTTTAAAAAAAAGAAACAAGGAAAGAGTAGTAAGTCTCGCGTATAGGCCCGACATTTCTTAGATTGAGGACGCATGAATCGTGTGTATTATCGCATCTGATCAATGAGATACTTTGAAGATCTCAAACCGAGAAAAGTGTCGAAAACGTGCTTTATCGTGCATTCTCCCTCGCGTCTATTATTTCACTTCACTTCACCCGCTACTTCATTCCGCGTTTATCTCAAGAGCTAGCATAATCGCGTTGTTCGTTTCCGCATAAAGATATCGGAGACGAGGAAGGGACAGAGAGCATTGTAGCCGTCGATGTTATCGTCAGGCTGAACGAGAGGTCCAGAAGAGTTTATCTGGAACAATGCTTCATAGCGACACGAAGTTTCGTTCGTAAAGGAGTATACCTTTTCCACGAATGGATATGCTCTCTCGAGCACCTAGCTGTAAACTTTCACACACGCGGGTGGTCCGTAGACATGTTTTCAAAGACCTAGGTGGGGGATGACGAAAGAAAGACGGAAAAACGAACTTGTGGAAGTGTAGATCGACGAAGGATCGATTTCTTACCGAATGGATACGCATCAACCCCTCTTGTTTTCTTCTCCTCCTCTGGCTTCCTTAAAAAAAAAAAAAAAAATCCTCGTCAAACGACGAAGACGATCTCCCGAGCGGTCTTGCGACACCGAGATCGTCCCTTGAGATCTTTCCATCTCGAATGCCAGCCAGAAATGTGCATGGCACGTGAACCAGGTCCTATCACCTTTCGAAACAGACCTCGAACATATAAAGCCCTACGAGCTTTTGATGCTAGACTTTTTCTTGACAGTTTTCCAAGAACATACCTCCCTGAAAGCTGCTCCAACACCTTTTGTCGTTTTCTCCACCTTTTCTAGTTTCATTTCCCATTCTGGAAATCTTTTGTTTCATCTGGCTTAGAGGAAAATGTATGGGGGGACGAGAAGTTATGTAGAAATGCTACTTGATGGAAATTAACGTGGATAGTAGATTGAATAATTTATTTAGAAGAGATAGATCGTTAATTATTCATTTATCAATGAATGTAGAACGATTTTCTAATTGATTATTTTTACAAAAAAGGAGTATATATTATTTTTTTAGTTTTTGATTAATCCTGATAGGATAGATTATAGATTTTCATTATTCGTTATCATAGAATAGTTATTTCGTGATTCAGAAATATTGATATTAAATTTTTCTATAAAATTGTTTTTTATAGGTTAAATTTCTTCGAAGAATATAATTTACAAACAAAATTATAAATACACATACGTGATAACATATTCGATGCTTAATTCGACGAAAATACGAATTATATTTATATTTATATAGCATTCATTCCGAGTAGTATCGTTTACAATATCGAAAATTAAACTCTCCAAATGAAATACAATGTTAATGTAATCTGAAATGAAATAAGTATTTAGAAGATAAGCGTTTCGTTTCGTAAGCAACTATTACGTTGGATTCTCTTATCGTTAGTATATCAAACATGTATAAATACATTCAATATTGTAACATTGTCTGTTTTGTAAACTGTCTTCTTTCGTTACATTTTCATTCTGTACATCAGTCTTCTATTTTTTTTTTTGTTTATATATTTTTTTACGATTTTCTCAATATAATACAATTAGAATTTTGATTTAAGAGGTCCAATAATTTATTTTTATTAATAGAAATGAATATTATTGCGATGATTAAATTTAATATTCATTTTTTCTTACTTTATGGTAATTATTTATTTTTCAAAGAGATTAATTTTCTAAATATAATTTAAATTATTCAAGATAATTTTTGATATAATTACGCATCGGCATTTCGAAGAAGTGGAATATAATGTCCGCATGTATGAATCACGATTTTTTATTTCATTGAAGAAACGAGTTCTATCAAATCACCGTATACGCGACGAGATTATCTGGAACTATCGTAAAAATAAGAAAACACCTTTTCTATGTATTTTCATGTTTCTTCCAAGGATTCCAATTAACAATTTCTTCAGCCTCTGGAAACAAGTTTTCTCAATAGCTCCCACATATTCACCGCAACTTAAAAATAAACCAATTTCACGGTAGGTGTTTTGCTTTATCGTTCAGCGTTTTCTTAATTTCTCTTTTCGATGTATCGAAAGCTGTTGCTTTCTTCCATTTTAATGTTCAATTAGTAGAATGAAATAAAACGTTTGTTTGAAAAAATTATTATAGGAGAAAGTGTAATAATTTTGTATATATTATTTTAGTATTAATTTGTAATATTTTATTGTGAATAGCTTGTTTGTTTTCTTTATGTAGAATTACAATTTAATATATTTTTTTTTCTTTAAAAAATATAAAAATTCAATAATTGTATTATAAAAATAAATGTTCTGTAATCAAATCTCGAATAATTATATGAATATCATAATTTGATATATTCATATATCATTTCTGTTTTTATTTTACATTTCATGAGTAAAAAAATTTTCTTACTCGATATATTTAGCGATTTATCATTAAAAATACAAGTAACGAAATTTGAATAATCGTAAGAATGTAAATAATTTATATATTTTTTTTTCATTTATATTTATATATTTTATGTGACATTTTTACACATAATTATACGATTATTTAGGAATTTTCACGCATCCGTGTTAATCTACCGTGAAAAGGAATGTCAATAAATTTTCTTAAGTGCTTATAAGACATTGCAATTTAGTTTTATTTTTTCTTTTTTTCGTTTTCGTTTCAATTCTCAATATATATGAATATATATTGCTACACGTAATATAGAATTATATCCTTGTTAATGATATCTTTGAATGCTTGTAGGGTTGTTATAAATTTCACGTTTTATTTCAAAATTTCATTCATTTCGTTTACTAGAATCATAATAATTGTATAATAATGGTATTTTCAGATATAGTATATTATTAATACCAGCATAATATTTATCAAATACTTTTACAATTATCATGTAGTGTTTGCAAAACGAGCAATCAATTTATTACTGGTATTTCATCGTACTTATTTCATAATAGTTATTTAACAGTATTTATATGATATTCAGTGAATTGTATTCGTGCATTATACAATATTTATTCGATAAAGAAAAATAATATAACAATAGAACAAACGAGAACGAGTGAATCAGTATAAGGCTCATTCAAGAAATATGCTTAATGCATAAACTCTGATTCATTCAAACAACCCGTACATATGTGACGTGAAAACTGCTCGTGTGACCACCCAGAGAGACCAGCTTGAGCAAAACGCTCTTGAAAACTGACACTCGGTTCTCTTGTTATTATAGGTATACGTATCTCGGATCGTTCTTCATTGAGTTAAGTGCCATTGAAAGTAATGTATACGTTTTATCATAATCATTGTAAATTTTTTCTCGAGAATCGTACATCTATATACTACCAGCACGATTATTGGCTGGTGTCCATTAAAGCTGGTCATTAAAACCAATCTCAATAATGATATTTTAAAAGAAATCATAAATAAGTAGTTTTAAAACTAGAAATTTATTAAATATATATTTCATAGAATTATTAACATAGAAATTAGAATCTATGGCCATTTTATAGTTTAAAAAGATTTTGTTGTTTTAAAAAAAATATATCTTATATAATACTATTATTCGATCCGTCATATTAAAATAGTCATTGTATTAAATTTCATTAATTAAGATTACAAAATCTCTACTACAGCATCGCTTCAAAATAACCGTGATTCGAAAACTTTCCTTTTGCCAAAGCGAAGGGAGAAAAAAAAAAAAAAAAAAAAAAAAAATATCGACACAATTCTCGAAACCACGATCGTCGCGAAAGAGAAGATAGATATATCACCGCGCCGTATACGTATTGCGCGGGCGGACAAACTCTGTGGCACGCCTGCCACCCAGGGTGAGAGCGGCGCGAATAAAGAGCCGAACGCGCCGCTGTTTTATCGTTTACGCGGTTGCACAATCGCGCTTGTGTCAGCGAGTATGGTATCGGCGGGGCGGTGACAGTGGCGGGCGGCGTTATCGGGACAGGAGAGAAAAAAGAGGCGCATTCTTCGGGGTCGACGCTCCACTTTTCTCGTCGGCCTGAAAAGGGAGAGCCGCCTCTCCGTGCACTGCGCCCCGCGTTCATGCCGGATGAGTCAGTCAGTCAGTCACGGCCACTGCCCTTACGATTCTCAGCGTGCATACTCGCACGCATATCCCGCGAACGGAATGGCGGGACACCCTTGGATCGTGTAACCCATTGCGGGTGCTTTTATTTCGTCGAAATAATATTTCGATCGACCGATTCCTTCCTTCAAGATTT